CAGCTGGTAAATGCTTGTTAAAGGTTTGTTGTTCTAGCTGTTATTTTGTTTTTTGTCCTTATTTCCAAATTCAAGGTGTGTTTCAAAGTTGGGCCTAAATTCCTTCACCTGAGCCCTTGGGAGGAAAACCTATGCTGTTCACAAAATTACTTGTACTTAAGCGCTGTGATGCCTCAAAGGCTCCTCACAGCCTTTGACCGGCATTCCTGAGCAGTTGTTCCATGCCAGCCTGGCCTGGAGGGGTGATGAGTACAGTAAGGGGGTGTCTGGTTGCTGCAGGGTCCAGAAGTTGAATGGCCATGACCTGAGAGGAGTGGAGGGCTTCCTGGAGGAAGGGACATCTGAGTGGCATCTTGAAGGAGGAATAGGAGATGGTGAAGAGCCTCTGGTTGGCGGCATGGCTTGAACAGAGGCCTGGTGGTTTAAAGGAAACTGAGTGTGAAGAGGAGGTGGGGAGAGGAGGCTGCAGGTAGATACAGGAAGACTTTACCTGAAGGCCTGGGGGCTCAGCAAGGCCTTGATCCAGGGGAGGGATATGGTGAGATTTGTGTTTTTTTTTAAATCTTTATTGATGAGAGTATTACAAATGGTCCCCTTTATCCCCCCAATTGCCCCCTTCCACTGAGTTCCCACCACACCCCACGCCTTCACCTCCCTATTGTTTGTGTCCATGGGTTATGCACATGTGCATATACTAGTAATATCTTCGCTCCCCACTTCCTTCTGAGATTGGTCAGTCTGTTCCATGTTTCCATACCTTTGGTTCTATTTTATTCATAAGTTTATTTTGTTCATTAGATTCCTTGTTCACTTATTTTTATTTTTAGATTCAATTGTTGATAGGTATGTATTTATTGCCTTTTTATTGTTCATGTTTGTTACCTTTTTTCTTCTTTTCCTCCTCTTCACTTTTCCCTTCCCCTTCCTTTTCCTCTTCTTCTTTCTCTTCCTCTTCTTAAAGAATACTCTTCAACATTTCATATAATACTGGTTTGATGGTGATGAACTCCTTTATGTTTTTCTTGTCTGTGAAGCTCTTTATCTGACCTTCAATTCTAAATGATAGCTTTGCTGGGTAATCTTGGTTGTAGGTCCTTGCTATTCATCACTTTGAATATTTCTTGCCACTCCCTTCTGGCCTGCAAAATTTCTGTTGAGAAATCAGCTGACAGTCGTATGGGCACTCCCTTGTAGATAACTGCTTTACTCTTGCTGCTTTTAAGTTTGTCTTTAACCCTTGGAATTTTAATTATGATGTGTCTTGGTGTGGGCCTTTTTGGGTTCATCTTGTTTGCAATTCTCTGCGTTTCCTGGACTTGTAAGGCTATTTCTTTTACCAGGTAGGGGAAGTTTTCTGTCATTACAAATAGGTTTTCAATATCTTGCTCTCTCTCTTCTTCTTCTGGCACTCCCATGATGCGAATGTTGGTACACTTGAAGTTGTCCCAGAGGCTCCTTACACTAACTTCATATTTTTTCTTCTTTTTGCTCTTCTGATTGGGTATTTTTATTTCCTCATCTTCCAGATCATTGATTTGATTCTCAGACTCCTCTACGCTACTGTTGAATTGCTGCAAATTATTCTTTATTTCAGTTAGTGTATGCTTAAATTCTGACTGGTCCTTTGTCAAGTCTTTGAAATTCTCACTAAGATCCTTGAAAGTCTTATTAAGTACCTTGAAGCTCTCATTAAGATCCTTGAGCAGCCTTATAATCATTGTTTTGAACTTTGTATCCAATAGTTTGCTTGCTTCCATTTCATTAGGTTCTTTTTCTGGAGGTTTCTTCTGTTCTTTCATTTGTGACATGTCTTTTGGCTCTACATTTTGGCTGCTTCCCTGTGTTTGTTTCTATGTATTAGGTAGAGCTGCTATGTCTCCTGGAATTGGCAGCGTGGCCTTGTGTAGTAGGTGTCCTGTAGAGCTCAGTGGCTCAGCCTCCCCAGTCACCTGAGCTGGTCACTCTAGGTGCACCCCTGTGTGAGTTGTGTGCATAGTCTTTTTGTAGTGGAGCCTTGATTGCTGTTGGTGTTACTGGGAAGAATTGACCTCCAGGCCAATTGGCTGCGAGGAGCAGCTGCAACTACAGCGGAAGAGCTGCTGTGCAGGAGACACGCCTATGGAGTAGGACTTGCTTCAGTGGGACTTTGGTGCTCACTGGGTCTGCCCCCTGAGTGTGTCACTTGTGGATGTGTAGAGTTATAATCTGGTATGTAGAGTTATAATCTGGTATGGTCAGAAGCTATCCACTGGGTGCACTGGCTCTGGGGCCTCCCTAGAGGTGCAAAGTCAGCCACTGCCTGGGCCCACCTGACAGGAGCTACAGAGAGATCTTCAGATGGCTGCTACTTGTATTGGGTTTGGAAGTGTTCAGGCAAGGCCTGGCTGCGAAGCAAGGCAGGTGGTGCTAGTGCCAGGTCTTGGGCCTCTTATTGATAGGTATGTGGCACACTGACGCCAGCTGCTGCTTGTTCGAAAGATTTTAGGAAAGTTTCGAGATCTGGTTTTGAGAAAGGGTCCTGGCTGTCAGATGGACGGTGACCTGGGGTGGGGGCAAGGTGGTGTGGAAGGTGCCCAGGACCAGCCCAAGATGGAAGAACACTTGGTACAGAGTAGCCAGCTGGGGGAGGCGGTGCTGGTTAGGTCTTTGATGGTGAAACGATAGCCATTACAGCAGATCATATGTATGGGGGACTGGGGAGGAGGAAGGTGACTCAAAGGTACAGCTCAAGTGATTGGGGCCAGGCTAAGGGAGCAGAGAAGGTGGAGCAGGCCCGGGCCATTCAGACAGCCAGAATCGGAAAGAACAGATTTTACAAGTAGTCTGGAAGGATCAGGTAGTGATCCCGGAATCTTGAGACCAAAGGGAATGCCATCACTTACAGAATTCTCAGAAGACGTCTCTGTCCCCATCCGCCATGGGTGTCTGGACGGGGAGTTTGAAGGTGGCGAAAGCGGCCAGGCTGGTCTGTGCAGACCACACCAGGAGGTGCTGCTCACCCGGCCAGCCAGCTGCCCTGGGAGCCGTCTTACGTGTGCCACACCGTGCCCTCGTGCACTCCAAGTTTTACTTAGAAAGACACCGAGTAGGGTGCAGATTTGAGAAATGAGATTCTGGGTCCTACAGGTGTTGTAGCCTTGAGGCCCCAGGGATGGAGTGACCACTGCCTTCCGTTCTGCCACTCTGTGGCCCACAAGCCCTCTACCAGGGCGGTCCCTTCCATGGGCTGCAGACCTGCCTGCCTCCCTCCTGTGACAGCCACCACGGCCTCCTGAACTCCTTCAGGTTGTCACCCATTTTCTCTGTTTCTTTTATGGCAAAGCTTCCTGAGAGATGGCTTCTGTTTCCACACTCATCCCAGGCCCTTCCTGACCCCACTGGACCCCGGTCACCCCGCGTGGCTGAACCTGCAGCTTGACCTCATCTTCCTAGTCTTGACCTCATTTCCTGTGGCCGAGCTGATTGTTCCTTCCTCTTCCTGAAGACATTTCTCCTGGTGTTTGGGCTTTCCCTCCTCCCCTCCCCTCACTGGCCATTCCTGCTCACTCTCCTTGACCGGCTTCTGATCTGGAAGCATTGCCTGCCCTGGGCCCACCATATTCCCATCTCTAGCTCCCACTCCCCCCCTGAGCTCCAACCTGCATCTCCAGCAGTTTCTGGGGGTCTTAATAGGCATCTCACAGGTTCATGGCCCAACCGCGCTCCTGGCCTCTGCCCCGGACCTGCTTCCCACCCGGTGCTCCATCTCAGCAATGGCACCGCCGCCCATTCATCCAGCTGCTCTGTCAAAATTGGAGCCATCTTTGACATCTCACTTTTTTTTGAAAAATGACTTTCACATTTCTATTCTGTGACATCTGATACAAACGCTGAGTCAGCCGCATGTGCGAGTGATGAAGCATATTAGTGAAGCGCTTGCTGTGACCCACCGCCAGCCGGGAGCGTTCCCGTGCCTGCACCCCTGGGTGTTCCTCCCTAGCCATGACCCCTCTTTCCGTCACAGCCGCGCCCAAGCTCTCCCAGGTCCTGTAGGCTCTGCCTGCAGAGACATCCGCGGGCCACCACCTCCCTCCAACCCAGGCCACCACCGTAGCTCCCGGGTCACTGCAATAGTGCCCCTTCCTCCCAAACTTGCTCTCCACACATCAGAATGACCCCTTTTCACGATGAGTCACTTCCTGTCCCCCCTCCAGGGCCTGCGCTCACCTCCTTGCTGCTGCTCACACAAGCCAGTCCCCCTACCCAGGCCCTTGGTTCTCGCCTCTGCCCCCTGGCTGTCCTGGGCTCCTTCTGACCTCACAGCGGCAAGCCCCTGCACCCTGCCCCATCCCGCCACTCTGCTTTCTCTCCCCAGGCCCCTTCTCTAGCTGGAGCTAAATACACACTGACTTCCCCTTACTTAGTATTGTCTCTGAGTAGAATGTAAGCGCCATGGACTGTGTTGTGTCTTCTGCACCAGGCACGATGCCGGCTGCATGGTAGGGGCTTAAAGATCTATTGACTGAGTGTGTGTGAGTGAACAAATGATGGGAAATGTGAGGATGAATGAGTGAGCGGACATGCACATGAATACATGAAAGATGGAGCCTGGTGAGCAGGGAAGAGACAGGAAATGAGGGCTTTTTTTCCTGGACCCCCACGTTGTTGTTTCCCGATTTCTTTTCTTTCCTGTGATTCTGAGTTGGAGAACACTGTGATGCTGACTTCGTATCTCAGTGCAGTTCTCCTCGCTGCTCACCACTCGGCGGCAGGAAATGACTTGTTGCTTAGGTTTTAAAATCTGGGGTAAAAATAATGAAAACGTGCACCTGTTGTCCGTGAGGTCGTTCCAAGACCAGATGAATCTCAGAACTAATAATCCTCAAAATTAATTAAACCCTCCTTCCCAATTATGAGAGAATGGAGCGGGTTGCTGTCGCGGTGGTGGCGGCGGGGAATCTGGGTCGGCGCTCCCGGCTGGGTCTGGGGCAGCGTGGTGAGTGTCTTTGTCTTCTCTTTAGGGCTGCCACCAGGACCATGAGCAGCTAAGATGGACACGTCTGCCTCAGCCGCCACGGAGAAGAAAGAAGGCAAGAGTGCGATCCCGGAGGGCGCTGCTTTCCCCGACGCGGGCAGGAAGACCTCTGCTCTGGCCGTGGCCGCGGCCGCAGTGGCTGCCCAAGGAGGTACTTTCTATTTTGCACAGTTGGAGGGCAGCAGGGGTCTCCTTCATTAGCCCGTTAGGGTTTAATTGGACTGGTGGCCCACGTCATCGGGCAGGCGTGCTGGGTTTATGGAAGGTGAAGAGGAGGGCGCCCTGCTCCCGGATCCTAGGCACTGTGACGGGTGCCTGCAGGCTTTCCCGAGGTCTGGCCACCCTGATCTGCGGCAGGGGACTGGGCCGGCTCAGACTCCAGCAGGAGAGCCTGAGAACGCAGAGGGGAGGGGGGAAGGGAGGCCGGGGGCTGCTGGGCAGCCCTGGGGTGTGTTCACTTGGCACATTTGAGATGTGCCAGACACTGCTCCTGCCTCTGGCCCACAGGGACTCTTTTAGAAGTAATTGTCTCTTGATCCCTTCTGGCTGTAATTAGAGGGTCAGGTACAGAATTTAGTATCCTTAGGTGAATTTCTGGCCAACTTAATTATAGCAGAAGGATTATGGAGCCACAGCCTCTCATTTTACTGCCCCGGAGAGTAGGAGAGAAATACTCTGCTTTCCACTGGCCATGCCAGCGCCCCGGTGGGAAAGTTTGGCGGGAAGGCGAGACCTCCCCTTGTGTCTGCGCCGTCCATCTGGAGGCCACAGAACTATTTCTGTCTCCGAGGAATGGAGAGACTTAGATTTCTTTTCTTTCCCTTTTATTCAAGTGCATTTAGTCACGCCCTGTTGCTCTCGCTGCTCAAGCACAGCTCGGCAGCAGCGGGAAATTCGCCGTGGCCAGCGGGACGGGCGGGTGGAGTGTGGGCGTTGCCCCTCACTTTGAAGTGAGCACAGATGGGTCGCTGTCAGAGTGCAGGGCCCGGCCAGGAAGTTGGCAGCACAAGGGTCTGCGTTTCGAACCAGCGCTGGGATGGCGTGAACAGGGCGAAGGTCTGAGTTCCTAACTACCTCAGATGATGTGGGGGCTGCTGTCCACGGGTCACGCTGGCGCAGCTCGGGGTCGGAACTTGGGGAATCGCACGACACTGGGCGGCGTGGTGTCCAGGAGGCAGACGGAAGGGGAGGGCAGGCCAGCGCCAAGAGCCTGATGGGGGATTGGAGGCTGGCCTCCCGTCCCGGCCTGGCTGTGTCTGCACCTGGCCTGCTCCCTCCTCTGGGTCAGGGCCTGCCCTGCCTGTGGCGACTCCAGCTGTCCCTCTGCCTGATGCACAGGCCCAGGCGCCTGAGGCCTGAGGGAGCTCCAGCAAGCCGGCTCAGCGTGTCTCCGCTGGGCCCTCAGCTGTTTCTCCCTCGCCAGGGCTGAGTGGCTTATGAACTGCCCACGTCATTTACTGCCATTTACTGCCGCATCATAGTAGCAGGGAGCAGACTTAGGCAGTAGCTGGGCAGTAGCTGGGGGAGGCCCCTCCGGCATGAGACCTGCTGTCACCAGTGGTGCAGCAGCAACAGGAGCTTGAGGGGTCTGACCTGAGGCGGGGCAGGCAGCTGCCGAGAGCTTGGAGTGCAGCAGCTCCACCAGGCACCTACCCTGCTCCACCCACCTACCCTTACCCCAGGGGGCCGGCCCTGCCCACCCCTAGAGGCCCCTGTCGCCTATTGCCCAGGGGAGCCCTCCCGGGGATGAATTCCAGCAGAAGGTGGATGTAACCTGTCAGCCCCTGGCAGGTGGCTTGTGTCATTGGAATCAGCCCACCACGTGGCTCCCTCTGCCCCCCTCCGGGCAGCTGCCAGGGAAGGGCCCTCCTGGAGTCAGGGAGGAGTGGCTGTTCCTGCATGGAGCCAGCAGGGCATCTGGAACAGGTCCCTGGTGCCAGGGGACCGTGATGCCCACCTTCTGCGGATGGCGTGCGGAGCGCCTGCTGGTGTGGCCCGGGGGGCCCTGGCTACGGTTCCAGGTCAGCAATATCCCTGGGTCCCAGTGTGATAGCCGCTCCCTTCTCGGGGCCTCATTCTCCCACTCAGGGCATTGGACCGATGTCTTTGAGGTCTGGTGACACTGGAGCTTTATTGCGTCCTAGCAGAGGTGGCCGAGGTGCTGTGAGTGACTCATGGCATCCAAAGTCTCACTCAGGTCCCTTGGTAGCCAGTTGATCTCAACACAGTGGGAAAGAGAGAGCGTGACGGTCTGAGGGAGCAGAGGGGACGGAAGGGAGGCCGTGTCCTTGGGGGCAGAGCTTGGAAACCCCGTGTGGAGCTCCTGGGTATGAGGTGGAGCCGTCTCCTTCACGAGCAGTTGGAGCCTCCCCTTTGCCACCTTTCCGTTGTGTGGGGGAGGCTGGCATGAGGTGGGGAGGGGACTTGCTCAAGGCCACCAGCCGCTCCAGCAGAGAGCAGGGTCTGGGGCTCAGGGCACAGGGTGGGAGTCTCCTTCCGGTATGTGCTTTTAGGCCATATGAGGCAGGGCCAGCCTTTCCAGGTGTGAAGTATGAATCATACATGTAGCTGCTCTGTGGTTACAGCAGACATATAATGTGCTTCCGCCTGCCTGGCTCAGGGTACCTCCTGGGTGGTAGCTGCCACTACCTTGCAGCACAGGGAAGTGGTAGGAAGCAACTCAGACTGCAGCCAGGTCGCCTGACCCTGGGCAGTATGTGCCTCCGTTTTTTCATCTATAGAATGGACATAATAACAGCACCGACTTCAGAGTGTTGTCAGGATTACTCGAGGAGCACATGTAAAGTGCTGGGCACATCAGCTCTATCTGAGGTCCAGCTTAACTATGAGCTTTCACCAGTTTTTCTCTTCTCGGTCCGTGGGCTGTGCCTTAGAAAGTCTGCCCTTCACTAACCCTTGCTAGCTGACCCATTGAAGCCAGACAGGTGGGGGAGGCTCTGATGTCTGGTGTCTCCCCACTCGAGAGTGGTGGAGGGAGTACAGGGCAGGAGATCAAACCTGGGCCCCAGCCCTTTGCCGCTGGGCCAAGGCTGCCCTGGACAAGAGCGCTTGGCGGCCCCGGGCCTCTTGCACTCATCCTTCTGCCCTGCACCCTGAGGTGGAGCAGCCCAGAGGTCTGAAGCTGGCCTCGCCGTGGAATCTCAGGAGACAACTGTAACAGACGCAGATTCCAGGCCACCCAGACCTGCGGAGACAGGGCCTCCTGGGCAGGGGCCCGGCCACGTGCATGTGTGACAGGCTTCTCACCTGCTAGATGCAGCTGGACTGTTCCCCGGGATGTGGCGTGACCTCACGGTCACAGGGCTGAGCACAGCGTGACTCGGCAGAGAGCTCCCTCGCTGCAGGAGGCCTCTGTGCCGCCGGAACCCGCACTACCACTGTTTTGTTCACTGGCTCTGCGGCTTCTTGGCAAGTTTCTTTGAGGTGCATCTTTGCTCTGCGGTGAGGCATCACGTCTGTCCCGGAATGCTTCTCAAATTCAAACATTGGAATGTGTAAACAGGCCAGAGCGTGAGCATTCCTGCTGAGTCGCCCGGGGCTAGGGGTCCCCGCGTCATTTGGCCTCACCGAGTCCTGCACTGATCAATGCCTCGAGCCCTTGGTGTCCTTGCCCCTCTCTGTTTCTGTGCCACCCCCTCCCCCACCGTGTGGGCAGAGCACTGTTTGCTCACCATTGTGCCCTGCCCCTGGTAATGATAGTTGAATGAGGGGTGAATCTGACCCTATCATGCCAGGTGTGTGCCCGGTGGGCTGGTGCAGCCAGCTGCCTCTGCTGGCCCTGCGGTCCCCTGGCACAAGGGTCATTGGGGCTGGCCTGATCCTTGGCCCCTTCTTCCCTCACGAGGTCCCTGGAACTTACCAAGTGGGCCGCCTCCCTGGCTTACCTGCGCTGCTTGGCTGGGGCCACACGCTCTTGCCTTGGGCTGGAAATGCACTCAGATGTGACTAAGTGGTCAATTATTCTTATTTAAGTGATTTTCAGGATTGCCGCTGATGCTGCTTCTGAGCTTGTTTGAACAGCCCAGCCACACGGAACAGCCAGTTCCCTTCGGACTTTTTCTGGAGAGCAGAGCTCAGTTCCCCAGCAGCTTGGCATACCCAGGAAACGGGCACAGCGTGGTGGACGGGCGTCTCCTCCGTGGGTCTGAATGACTCCTGATGGCACGCTGGCGTGGCCTCGGGTGCTGAGGGCTGGAGGCCTGGGCGCAGGGGGAGGCTGGCACTCCTTCCGGTCCACGGCAGAGTACACGGAAGGGACTGGCTCTTCCCAGCTCCCCGCCTGTTTGCTGTGTGTCCGGGGGCAAGGCAGCTCTCGTCTCTGGTCTGTGAAAAGGAGATAATTCCTGGCTTTGGTGAGGTGGTGTGGAGAGTGTCTAGAGGGCTAGCAGAGTGCCTGCCGAGATGGGAAGTAAATGTTAGTGACATAAACTGGGCGAGCATTCCTTCCGCATAGCCTGGTCTCACGCACGACACCGAGACCTCATGCCCTAAATGCCACTCAAAGCTGCCATCCAAAATCAGACCGGATGTCCCTTTTCCTCCAGTGTAGCAGACCCCTCCCCTCCCCCCTTGGCCCTGGGAGACCCTCCCCGCCTGGCTTCTCTTCTTAGTCGAGGTGGCCAGCGTACCTGTTTGACGTGGGACCCACGCTGCTGTGTTCTGTGGCCGCACCGGGAGCTGGCAAGCTCTGCCCGCGCAGAAGAAAGCACCCGAGGGCAGGCACGGGGCTCCTGCCCCTGTTCTCCCTGGGCCTGGGCCTCGCCTCCGGGGCACGGCCTCAGTTCTCCTGCTTCATTGTGTCGCGCATGTTAAACTATTGCAGTGTTGGGGGGGGGTGGGGGGCTTTGAAGCTATTTCCAATTACAGCAGTCCCCCTTTATCTGTGGCTTCACTTATCCGCAGTCAGCCTCAGTCTGAAAAAATAAAATGGAAAATTCCAGGAACAAAAAAGCAAGTTTTAAGTTGTGCGCCGTTCTGCATAGGGTGATGGAATCTCGTGCTGTCCAGCTCCATCCCTCCCAGGACACGAATCATGCCTTTGTCCAGCCTCTGCACGCTGTCCGTATCCCTGCCTGTAGTCACTCCGTAGCCACCTGGGTTACCCGATTGGCTATTGGAGAGAGAGAGAGA